ATTTTTTTTATGAAACATAAATGTGTTGAATACAATAAAAATATTGAATAATACTATATTTTAGACAAGCAATGTGTGCATGAGTAAATGGAGGAAAAACGAAATATATATTTGTATAATTTCGTATATATTAGAATTGTTTTATTACTATGTCAAACCTTATTATTTAATCTAAAAATTAAGTTAAGACAAAAAAAAAGAGGTACATGTAATTTATTACCTTGAACTTAAATCATTTTTGTACTACAGTACACATATCAATTTATTAAATTATTTTCATACTAGTTATCAAACATTTGTAATGTGTTTGAAAAATAATTAGCAAAGGCAATATTTTAGATTTAGAATAAAATATATCTGTATATTTCGATATATAAATATATATTTATAAATTATTATACATTTTGTCAAACTAAGATATAATTTTCATACTAGTTAAAAGTTTTTTTTAACATTTTATACAAAAGTTGTTTTAATATCCTAAATAATATAGTAAGATCGGTAAACCAGTACCTGTATTTTACTGTTTCGAAATGGAACTGACGCTACGTTTTAGAACAAACATTTTAGTATTGAATTTTATCTTACTTAAATGTGGAGGTGAGATTTTTATTTATTAAATTTGGTGGTTATTTGGCAATATTAAATTAAAAAGAGTGAATACAATATTTAGTCATGGATAATATTTGTATGCCAAAAGTTTTATTTTATACACTCATCACTTGTGTCAACCTAAGCCCCGTTTGCAATTCATGATAATATTTAAATAATTGTCAGTTTGGTATTTACAAATTTTTTTTTATTTAGTTTATTTTAGTAACAGATACTGAGGAAACGTGTATTCATTTTATTAACTGGTTTTTGTTACAAATTGTTTTTAAAATTTGATGTATCACTCATATTTGAAATTGATACTTAATAGTTTAATTATTTATAAAATCATACGATCTTGGCTAGAAGCGATAAAAGTTATATAAGACTACTGATCCACATTTAATTTGTTCAGATTTTTTATTTTTAGAAAGAATATAAAACAAAATTTTCTTCACGGATAAAAATTAATTTGTTTTCAAAATAATTGTGAAACATAGACAAAAGAAAAATTGGTGTTTTACTTGAAAACATTGTAAAGTATATCCAGTTTCTCATATATTTTGTCTGTTTTTGTGCTGTTCAATGACATTTGAAATTGTCTTGATTTCTTCGAGTTATGTTAATAAATCGAACACAGCCAAAATGCTTGACAATTATACAATTATTCTTTCGCCATTGCGTACTTTTATAATTATTGTACTAAGTTATATTCCTATTGACTATAATGTATTATTTTCAAGATATTTGGTCTAAGTCTAATGATAAGTCAACTGCTCTTATTGAAAGTTTAAACTACAGTACGTGGAAAAACTAAATGACAATAATACAATGTTGATTTTAATGATACTAAAGGGTGAAAAGGTGGGCAAGTGGGTACTGCTGTAGTGCTGTACAATATACTATCGAGTGGGTCACTAATAGATGTGTTAAATTTGAGTTCAATGCTATACGTCTTGCAAGACACGATTCTAAACGAAGATTGTCAGCCTATATTAAGTGTATTTTATTCAGTGGTATACTAATTGGGAGAGAGGGTTTTGGGATAAATCCTTTCCCCAAGAAATAAAAATTCCAGTTTTGAAATGTTAAGAATGAAAAATATACACGTCATGAAAATTTTTTAATGTGTAAAAAATAAAGTAGTTGTCAATTATTATGACTTGGAATCACAAAAATATACATTTTTCGCCCGTGGAGGTTATACTAACAAATAAACGTTTAATATTTACCTAAAAACTACTTTTGTATAGGTAGGTAATAAATATTGTAAATCATTATTAGTAAATTGTCTGTGCAGTGGTCCGTGGATGTGTTTTTGAGAGTGTCTATTTTTGTAATCGTATACTGGCGTCATCGAAATATTATTTCAATTTATAACTGTATTCTCTATTCAGTTAAGGATATTTTGTTCTTTCTGCAATATCAGGACTATCATTTATAGGTATTTACATTTTAAAATTTATACATTAGAAATTGTAAAAAATGGCCGAATATCTCGTCTTTTCCTACTGTTTTATTGTTTATAATTGAATGAATAATTAATTATAATTCTGCAATCTGCATTAATATATTGTAATTCAATATAGAACTTATTGGTGTTATGTTTTATATCTAATTACCTATAGTTACTTAATATATACATATATAATATTTACAAATTCTATAATTTGTTTAAGTAACTGCCCCGAGAAAGTACGAATAATTTAATAGGACTACTGAAATGGAAGATATTTAAGGTATTATATTAATTATTCATATTTACCTACTAGGTACCTGTATATCGTATAATTCAATATACTATACCACGTTCCTATATTCACTATCTAAATTTTCACATTTTATATTATGTAACAATAACATGTGATCTATATACCTAATATTATATACATACGGTAGTTATGTTGAATATTGATAACTTTTTATATAATTTCGCGGAAGCAATGCGAAAGCAGTTTCCGTGGCGTCGTAGGTTCAAAACCGAAAAAAAGAAAAAAAAGCTTTTTATATAATTTACCCTAGGCACGTGATCAATTTTATAACAATAGATAAGTGTCAACAACTTTAAACTGAACAAATATCTCATTGAGAGTTTTTGTAAGTACTAAATTTTATTTCAAATAGGTAAATTAAAATCATCCAAATAGGTTAAAAATACCTTTCTATTTATATCATATATTGATGAATACCTATAGTCATATCCCCATACATATTAGTTGTTGGTATTTGTGGTATAGGTATTAGGTACTCACTACTCATGGTGGAAATCAGGAAATCCTTATAAATTATAATTCAGGAGAAGTCCAACAATATGAATGGACAACAAAAAGGCCGTCTGTGTTTCGGGGGCTAAGCTTTTGGGAAGATTATTATATACGATTAGATGCGATGAATTATCAAAAAGCTAGATACCTACCTCACCTACATAATACTTACAATAGCTATAGGTTACTAAACTATGTCTTAATAAATCTCGAGTAGGTATAATATAAATCATAACTTATATATAATGTTTGGCAATTTTAGCAATTATTAAATAATGCTTATTTATAAATTATTTAAAGAATCACAAAAATAAATTTCTCATACCACTTGGCACTCAGAACCTAAAATCAAATAATATGTATACAGCTGAAACCTACTCAATAAAATCTTAAGATAAATAATACGTCAAGATTCCAGATATCCAATCGTCTAAAATATAAAAATATATACTCTGATACGTATGTTTCATTCCTGTATATATTATGTGGGTACTTTTATAAATTAGATACAATGTCTATTATAAAAAAAGAAGATTAATTTTGTTCGCGTAAAGTGGATTGTTTGATGTGAATAAAAAAACGTTATTCTTTCATCACTCTCAAACTACCAACTATACAATTTATTATTCACCACAGGCCACACAACCAATAAAAGTCGACAAAAAAATATATATGTAGACTTTTAGTTAAAAGTTACCAACTATTATAAATACACATTATATTTTTAAATACAATTTTGACTTTAATGCAGAATGCAGAATGATATAATATAATATTTTATAGGCTTTTGCTTTATGTATAGATTAGGTACCTACCCGGGAATCAACTCGTACGCAGCCAACTAAACAGGATTTACAAAAATGACGGATTAAAAAAATATATATAATTTTAACTTTTGATTTTGGTGCTAAAATAATTATGTTAGGTACCGGTACCCACTATTAGATAATATAGTCCGGGGAAATTTTTGGAAGGTTCTTACAAATTCTACGAACTTCAGTAGTCGTATCATGTATGGTTTATACACCAATTTAAAACATAATGTTGTAACATCATGTACACGTTGCTTCACTGGATAGATGAGTGAAAATATAATCATTATTATTAGACTTTGACTTCTTATGGGTTATGCAGTGGCACCATTTTAATTTTTAACATTGAATGGATTCTACACAAAATTATCCATCTTATAGCACTCCAGGGGCCAGGGCACCCCTTTTTCCAGGGCGCTGTCGGGTATTCAGCTACCTAGTCAATAAATAAAAGTTAAACAATTTAATTTGTAATTAAAATATTTTACTCATAAACCTGACCCAATCTTCCCCCCTCCTTACCACCAAACTACTATCGAAAATTATTTTTTTTTAAATACCTATATAGGTATATTCAGTTGATTTTTTATAATAAAATAATAATAAATATATTCAAGTGATTTTTGAAGGACAATTTTGGCAATTTTCAACAAGTCTTAGGTTATTTAAAAGTGAGCCTTGCTTCTTATGACCTATTTTTAATAAATAATAATATATCTCTTTAACTATTTTTTTGTACATAATATTATTATGATTATTTTATTTTATTGCCACTGATCCCTCCACCAGTCACTCTTAAAAAACTGTTTTGTATACGATGTATATGAATTGATAGGTAGGTATTTTGTAATATTGTAATCAATTTTAATGATACAATTTATTATTAGGTAATATTAAATATTTTATAAAATATCATTTTAACATGATTGTTTAAACAATATTAAGTTCGTTCCACTTCGAATTAATAAATACTTGTGGAACTTATATAAGTGTCTATTCTCTAAACATTATGACTATAATACGTGTATCTTACAATCCTTTTTCCTTACTATAAAATGTATATTTATTAAGAGAGGTATATTAGGTATATATATATATATATATATCACAATGATATAATATATACAATATACACTCCGACATTCGTAGCCATCAGTCATCACTCATCATTAAAATAATAAATTATAACTGTAAATTCAATACATAACATTATAGTATTGTCTACCTACTGAGAACAAGACATTAAAACATATTGGTTTTTTTTTAATTTTGGATATTCGAGTTTAAGAATACAAATAACTCTCACATTTTAAATAAATTAATACGTTTGATGTAGTTTTGTTGATCTGTTTTTTATTTTATTAAAAAAAAAACATCAAACATTGATAAACCATATAGAATGAATACCTAAATAACTAGCTAATAAGTAATAGTACACAAATTACACAGTATACTTAATTATAATAATATTGTCTACAATAAAATACATACTCGTACATTACAAATTTTCAACATACTTACGTAGGTATACCGGCTGCGGTATACTCTAATATTATACCTATTATATTGTACAGCATCGAATAAATAGATACTAACATAACTATGCCTATCTAATATTTAAAATCAACATAAATAAATACATGACACATATTTATTAGCATTCAGTATTCACTTAATATTTTTTTATATGACACACTAGTAATTTATGTATATATTGTGCCTGTTGCAAACTTACAACATATTCTATAGTTTATTTGTTATAATATGATTAACGTTATTATTACTAACAATTTATGTAATAAAAAAATGTATAATAATACTGACTTTGGCGAGGTTAGTTACGTTTTATCTATACAACACAAGACATTGTTTTAAATATTTATAGTTATTTACCTATTCTAATTTACAAACTTTGTACGAGTAATTTAATTTTAGTTTTTGTATACCTACGCACATATGATCCGAAGATCATGATGTTGACAAATCGCTTTAAACACAGGTGTAAGAATATTAATGTTTCTATATTACGTATATTTTTTTACAAAACAAACGCAGTAAACAAATAGTTGAACAATTGGCGAATAATATTTCTATTGCTGTCATATGTAGGTAGGTAAAGTTAAACAGAAAATAAAAAATGATAACTGTTACTATATTTTGTTATAAAAAATAACTACACACAACGGAGTCGTAAGTACTTATATATAGGTATCTAATGTATAGATAGGATAATAGAATTTTTCACATATTTATTAAAATAATTATCATGAAATTACGTATAATTAGATAGGTTAGGTATACTTGGTGATTTTCTACATTGGTATACATTGTAGGTAATGTAATAATTTCTACATCATATGTTTTTTCATTAACAAAGTAAAATACAATAATGAACATTGGTACCTATATATTAATTTAAAGTAACTTGTAGATCCACAAAATAGTGTTTGTTTATTTATTTATTTTTGTTTATCGCTTTATATATAGATACTAGATAGAGAAATTAAATTAAAAGTTGTTGGTAAATCAACTAAAATTTAGACCCGTCTAATGTTGTTTGATCTGATAAATAGTTATGCCATATTCTGCAGTATGTCTAGAGATCAGTTCTTACTGTTTTATTTTTTTTTATAGGAAATATTAATTTATTATTCATACCATCTATATAGCAAGTTCCAGGGATAATATTAATTGTTCACACATTGGAAATGTATGTATAAAAAAGAAACCGCACACACACAACAGGTCATTTGTAAACGTAATTTAATATACGTGTCATGTAACACAATCCGTACTTGCAAATATTATGAGGATTGGCGTATTTTTGAATACACACATATGGCAGTGATTGATGAAGTTATTCAATATTTTTCCATCAGTTGTTCCAAATATACTCTTCTTATTTGTAAATGACCTACCACGTAAGTATACCTAAGATACCGACGGTTGAAATGTTCGATTGTCGTTGATTACATTCCAAGGCAAGTCAACAGATAAAAATACACAAATCGTGGTTGTATAGCAAAAACATAAACTTATTAATATAAACCTATAAATATAGGTACAAATGTAAAATACGATGTACGAAAAAAAAGTAAGTATATAATAGATACAAGAAACTATGCGCGACAATATGTGTAATGTGTATTGACCTCGGTTGCTACAATATTATAATGATCATAATCTAAATATGTCTAATGTACCTACTATACATACATAATTTAGCCATCTCAATGGAACCATGAATCGTGCTTATATCTATGACATAATTTAGCAGTATAAGAATAAGAATTATGGCTGATCGCATGCAGTGCCTAGGTGGCTAGGTACCTATATAGGTACAACAGTACACCGTACATAATACACGGCTAAACCTATATACATATTTATGACTACAACAACGTTTGCCAGCAAGGTATAGAGTGTAATAGTGGGAAATAAGTTGCTCTGCAGAGTTCTCTACACAAGAATAAAAACTCTTATAATTTATTTATAAATAATATGTACGTATATATAGGTTAATTATATACAAATGCGAAGTGTTCAATACGTAAGATTGTTCCTGATGTAAGCTTTCTTCCTATTTTCGTGTCTGTGGCACTTGCCCCACCACGTTTTTTTCGTGCACACCCGCACACGTTTCAGTACGAAACATTTTGTCTGCACCACGTTGAAGAACAGCTTGCCGATCAGGTTCGCGGATCCGGTACCGATCGTTTTCAAACACGACCGAAACCTGTAATACATTCGTTATTAGTCACTAGCGAGTATAGAGCACAATCATTATTATCGAATAGGTAGTAAGGTTTTTTTTCACATCCAAATCATAATTATAATACAAAACTGTTATACGGTTATGCGAGTTATCTACTGTAAAGGCATATCATCTATCTACGTTATACTCGTATACATTATAGTATGAAAGTGGGTTGTAGGTACCGACTTTAACGAGGGAAAAATGTCGTCATCAAAATGTGTGAATTGAATATGGGTAAAAGAAACAATCAAAGTGATTATTATGTGAGAAGGTTTCTCGATGGTAATCAAAAGGGTTATTACTTCAATTGAGATGATTTACAGCTCTCAAGACGATTTCGATGACTGTAGATTTTCCGACATTGACGAGTGTGTTGCTTATATATTATATAGCAGGCAATAGGTACGGTACTATTATACCAGTATACTACTATATAGTCACATCTATAATCTATTATACTATTATGTAATACTAATCAGTAATAAATAATAATGTATACAGTGCTGTCCGCGATATCATGCGGGGGGTGTAGGTTTATTGTTCATGATGAGTGGGGAGAGTGGGAAACAAATGAACGCGACTTGCTGCACTGCTGCGGACCTGACAAGGAAGTCGTCTGCAAGAGCTTCCTCGGCGAACGGATATACCCTTTAAATATCACGGTGGTTAGAGATATATGGATATATGACATATTATTTTATGATTATGATTCAAAGTGGGTCACTGCAGAAACGTTCTACCAGAGTGTGTAAAGTAAAAGTCTAAAGTAATTCTACTATTCTAGATCGTTCTAAAGAACTAAGAAGCTTTTATTGGGGTTGTTGTAATAATTTCAAGCGAGTGTCTTGAACACCAGATTTATGTAATATACTAATATACTATTGTAGTATTGTAATAATTTATAACTGTGATAAATGATACTGCAGTATACTCCATCTACCGCCAACCACTTATTAGTCATCAACATGATAAATTGAATTCAAAATAGTCGATTTTTTTCCCGATTTCAGAGGCGAGGTCAACACATTTTTATTATAAACCATAGAAATTGTTTTATGCGTCACAGTCGTGTTGTCTGCACCGCGTCATAATGTGCAATCAAACTCGCGGTGTCCAGCGATCGCGAGGTGTTGAACTCTGGCAGGCGGTGCTATTCCAAAGCGCGAATCATCATCCACCCATTACCCTTCTCACTGGCAGCTGTATACACACTTACAACAAACACTCGAGCTTTATAATTATTGTTTTTTTTTTTTTGTTTTTTAATTACAGTTAAAAAATACGCATTACACACAAATATATATCACGACTTGTAGATAGAGGTACACGTACAAGACTGAGGCCACTTTCCGGGTTTCACATATTATGTATTGTACATATATATTATAATACCTATGCGTTCGAACGATCGAGCCATTCGAGGTTTTCTTGCAGTATATCGTGAGTACTCAACCAACATCATATACGACGAGTTCAAGGTTCGACAGCAATGGTCTTCGTAGCAGCAATATAATACCTATAGGTACCTGCTATAACGCTACAAACTCCACTCATCTATACCGATATATATATTTGCGTGTACACTTTTCCACACACTTGTGGTATGTCTGCGACGTTTATTGTGCACGTACCTGTACGCATATTACTTACGCAGGGGCCAGGGAGGTATCTATCTGTACGAATACCATACGATATTGGCATTGTCCATGTCAAGACATGACGAAATCGCTATATATTTATGGTAGTCGGACATTCGGGCGCCATCATAATATACACAAACACAATAAAGTCCTGACGCGTGAACAGCGCTGCAATAATAATATAATGATATTATGTATCGTCCGTCATTATTATATTATATAGGCACGTAATATTTATACGATATAGGTGCGAAAATAATACCACTGAACAATTCGATAGGTAATATTACGTTTTACAATATGACCGTATTACGTGTTCAGTCGCGTACATCGATGTAGTCGTATCGATTCGATTTTTTGTACGGGTCGTGTTCGATTTGAACTTTAGACGGTATAATAATTTATTATTATATTATATGATCTAAGGACTAAGATGTGAACGCAGACGGAATAATATCGAGTGTTATTCACATACAATTTTATTATAGTTATCACGCTGTTATACAAATTTTACAACATTGAAAATCGTACCACGCTGCTATTATTATTACATTATATACCTACTTACCGAATTCAACGCAAGGTTTAACGGTCGACCAGATTATATATTTTTAAATGTGTTGGAAGATTCCCGAATATTCTATATTATATACATCATTTTAGGTCCGAATCAGCGAGGCTTTAAAACAAGTTTAGACGATTTAATTGATTTGTTTTATCTGACCGCTGGCAGACGTCGTCGCGAGCTTAGTTTTTTCTACCACCATATAGTATAATGATTGGTGAAGATTATTTTTGTTAAACCAACAGCTATTTACACTTTTCGCAACAACAATCGAATCCACTGATTGTTTTCTTTATTAAGAGGGATTTCTTTAATTCTTTTAAGTTCAATAAAACACTAAAACTTTATTTGAAATTTGAGATAATTGAATTTGCAATACACATCTAGGTATACATTATGTACATATCCGATATACATACATGATACATCGTAATATACGCTATCAGTATAACTAGAATAAACAACTGCAGCAGGTGGCCAATTTGTTTGACATCCACTACCAGGCGGCACAGAACGAAATATCCAAATTTCATTTGATTTTGAAGCGAACGCGTTTAATTATTTACTATTGTATAGGTACATCATGCATGCATATAATACAGGCATATTATGACAGTTATTTTAATTGCATTGTAACAGTTTGAGAGTTGACTCAAATAAAATATCAGGTAAAATTTAACCTTGGCGTGTATTCACCAATGTGTATAGTAAATGATAAAAATATTTTGATTGGACAAAATGGCTTACAAGTATATGATGATGCATTTACGAAAAACTGTTTTCATTTAGCCATATATTATAGTCCGTGTAGCCTATAATTAATTATTGTTTATCCGAATATAACAGGAAATGGGCGTAGTCTTAAATTTGAACGAAGCAACTTCATTAAGAATACATAACTAATAGTAGGTAGGTACCTTACATTATAACTATGCATATAGAAATTATATTTTATCGGACTATAAGGGAAATGTAAATGAACTGGTAAAAAATGAAATGCATAAATTCATATTAACTTGGATATACTTGTAAAACAAAGTCAACCAGTTTAAAAAATTGATAAAAAATTACTGTACATTAAAAAAAAAAAAATATTTCATTGGTTTGATAGAAACTGCAGGTCAAGTCGTTTGCATTCCTTTTTCAGTCTATAGACATTGTAACTCTGATGATTTTTTTAATTTTCTGAGAAAAAGATCTTCATGCGTATGTTAAATGTTTGATGTCATTATCAAACGTGGTTTTCTATACGTATATAAATTTGACTTAAACAATTTTGTGTTTGACACTACCATCTATATAGCAAGGTATCTACTGTATTTGCAGTTGCGTGTGAAACTAAATAGACATCCGTGTAACCTAACGTTAGTTTTTTATAGTAATCATAATAATTGTACATAGGTACTTATTACTATTTTTCGTGAACTAACCACTACAAGGTTATGCTATGTTATATCGCTGTCTAAAATTGTTAGCAATACGAGTTTATATTTCAAACACACTTTACACTTAATATGTAATGTTATATTTCGCACAAATCTCTATGAAATAAGTGTATAACGTAGGTAATTGACGACTCGATATTGCCCAAGGTTAGGTATCCTTAGTTTTATAAAAAATATTTGTGGTTATTTAAAAAAAAAAAATATAGATTCAGAAAATTTTTTCGATAAATTCGTACGAAATACAAATGTTACATACTATTAACCATACATATTGTACAGTATATATACTCAATGATAATGTTACGTGCATATATGATAATTTTACCACATGTACCTATTTATACATTTATCTATAAAAAGTAATTAGTTACTTTAATACATTTAACTATAATCATTTTAAATTACTGTTGTATTATATAGAATTAAAAAAATAAAATTTGAGAGACAGCTAGAGAGTATTCTATATAGAGCGCTGCAAGTGCGTTGTACACTTGTATCGACATACTATTTTCAATAAAATAGGTAATTATAATTATCAGCTGTACCTATACCTATTAATCTATATTCTATAATCGAAGAATATATGATAAACTGATACATCATATTATGATCGAGAAAGGAGAGTTCGTGACTCGTTTAATACAATTGTTATTTGTTTGACATCGAATACAAATGAAAATCGAAAAACTTTTTACAATTATTGTAACGACATCTATAGGTACAACCAAGGCCGGATTTAGAACAAGTGCCGCCCTAGGCCCTTTGAAATATGCCGCTCCTACCCCAAGAAAAACAATTTTGTAATTATTTCTAATAAATTTATTTCATTTTAAAGAAATTAGGTCAATAGTCATTATAAACGAAACAAATAATAATTATAAATCCTAATTAGGCATTATCAGTATACATTTTTAATCTTAATCTTAAAATAATCTTAATAATCTTTAATCTTATACTTACCTCTTTAGTAATACTTAATAGTTAAACTTATACCTAATCATAACCTATGTTATCTATAACATTTTACTAACTTATATTATTATGTACCTAGGTATCTTATCTTTATAGCTTACATTACGAGAAAATTGATTTCGTGTTAATGATATTTTCAGTGTCATGCGCCCGTATATTTTACACACAGATTCTAAAAAAAATTCACATATATTTCATTCATTTATATGATTTTTTTTATTTCTTACAAAATTTGCCGCCCCAAAAAAATTGCCAGCCTAGGCGTAAATACGGCCCTGGGTACAACTAACATATTATTTGGAAACAGTGAATAATTTTAAAACGGTTGTGTAACTGCATTACAATCTTGAAAAGGCT